GGCCCGGCCTGCCGCCCCCGCCTCTTGCAGGGCAGCACCCAGAGGAGCGTCCTGAGGAACATTGCAGCCTTCTTGTTCCTCTGCAACATCTCGGTAATCGGCTCCCCTCCTTCCCCAGGCCCCGCATCCTCCGGGGTCTCTAGAACCTACTGCTGTGCACGAAATGACCCCCACACTCAGCAATGTAAATGCACCCACATTGTTTTCCAGGGTGTCTCTGGGCCAGGAATCCAACCCTCGCTGGGCGCCTCTGCTCAGGGCCCCTCACGGGGGCAGTCCAGCTGCCGGCCGGGCTGCGGGCTGCAATCATTGCAAGGCTTGACTGTGGGGTGGGGAGGGGACCGTTTCCAACCCACTTGTGTGGCTGCTGGCAGGATGCAGATCCTCGCTGACAGCCTGAGACCTCCTGCGGGTCCTGGCCACGTGGCCTCTCCTAGGGCAGTCACCACGCGGCAGCCGCTTCCTCTCGTGAAAGAGGGGATGAGCGAGGCGGGTCCCAGGGTCCTCGTAACCTAATCCCAGAAGTGACCCCCCTCACTTGGTCCTATTCTGTTTGTTGGAAGCGAGTCCCTAGGTTCAGCACAACACGAGAGGGCGGGGCTCATGAGGCTGTGACTCCCAGGAGGGGGGTCCCAGGGGTCATCCCAGAGGCTGCCTGCACCGCGTGGGAGGGAGAGCTGCGGAGGTGGGCGGTGTGACGGAGAAGCGGACCGGAGCCTGACATTTAAGGGGGGGCGAGGGAGGTGCGGAGGAACAGGGACAGGGAGACCGAGGAGGGGGACCAGTGCGTAGGTTCCATGAGCAACAGAAATAATAGGTTTTGCAAATTAGTTGCCATTGTATTCTCACCGGAGCCTCCGAGACAGGTGTTAGTATTCCCATCTTACAGATGAGGAAACTGAGGCTTGAAGAAGTTGTAGCCTAGAAGTAGCATGAGTAGCATGAACTCAGGTCGGGCTCCAAAGCAGGTGCGCCTCCCCCTGACCAGGAGAATGCAGGCAGGGTCTGGGCTGCCTCTCTCAGCCAAGCACAGGCCAGAGAGGAGACCACAGAACTCACAGCCCAGACCTGTGTGGCCGGGGTCTCCAAGCACCAGTGTAGGTACGGGCAGGTGGGTGAGACCAACAGGTGGCCTCTGCTCTAGGTAAACACTGGGGCCCCCGGGAGCACATAGGGAGTACCTGCCCAGACTGGTTACATCCAGGAGGGCTTCCTGGGAGAGGTGGTGTCTCAGGACTTGGAGGAAGGTAGGGTATAGCAGAGGGAAGCCAGGTGTCCCTGATAGAGAGAGAGGCAGGAGCCAAGCCCTAAAGACTCGGGAAAGGAAGGCACATTGGGGACCGCACAGCCCTGGTGCAGAGGCTGCGCATCACTGACAGGCGTGCCTCAGGCTCCCTGCCCAGGGGCCTGGGATTGGCTGGGGTCTCCACGGTCTCCTTCTCTTGCAGCTGTGGATCCCGCCTGCCTTCGGCTGCCGGCCCGAGTACGACAATGGCTTGGAGGAAATCGTCTTTGGCTTCGAGCCCTGGATCATCGTGGTCAACCTGGCCATGCCCTTCTCCATTTTCTACCGAATGCACGCAGCTGCCTCCCTCTTTGAGGTCTATTGTAAGATCTAGTCTGCGTCCGCATGAAAGGCCGGGGCGAGGGGTGCGCGAACAAGGGCGCTCCCCGGAGCCACCTGGGGTGGCCAGGCTGGGCAAATATTGCCTTACAGGTTCCAGGCCTGTCTTTTGTCTGCCAGGGTTGTTTCCTGCGGGCCGGGTGGCCCATCATCCCGGGTGAATGTCAACAAGTCAGGTCAAAATCGATGAGGCGGCTGAAATCCATCCTCATTCGTTCATTTAGTCAAAGCCCATTTTATCTCCTTCTAAACGAGGGCCTCTGTTTTTGAAGAATGTGATCCTCGGTTGGAAAAATGTTTATCCAGTTTGTTTTTCATAAAAACCACCCTGTGTTTGCCATTCGTCATGTTACTACATTCAGCCTTTTGCTGACCATCTGCGTAGGCTAATCACCCCATAGACTGCACCCTCCCCGGAGCTGGCGAATGTCGATACGATCACATTTGCTCTCTATTGTACTTTCTGCATGTGTTTAATTTTCTAACAAAGTTATTTTTATGGTTTGGATGGAAATTCGTGCATCGATCCATCTAAAGACATATTTCTTACCTGGATCTTGGCACATTTTCGTTGGTGATCATTGTGAAGTTTTTAAAAATACCTATTTTACTGTCTTCTCTCTCGCTGTGAGCACACACATGCTTTTTATAGAATGTTTGGACAGGCCAGAAGACCAGAGAGACAGGAATCACCCAGAACGCCACTGGGAAGCAGACAGCCACTCTGACGTCTCGGTGTGTCTTAGCTGTGGGCGCTGCGATGCTTTTCATCGCCACTACGGTCCCACTTGCCAGTGGCGACGCGGCAGCGCCAATTTTGTACACATTTCCCCCACTTACCGACCTGCCATAGCCCGCTCTCCCGTTGCTACCGTGCTCTGTAAGTGTCCTGTTAATGCTGTACATAGTCTGCCCAGGGAATGTGCCGTGACTGACTCGGTTTCCTAGTGCTGGCTTTAGTGTCTATAACTTTTTGCTTTTACGAGTGACCCTGTGGAGATTAACCATATTTGTAAAGCCTCTTCTACATGTAGAATTCTTCATGAAGGTGTGTACTTACGCTCAGAATGCCTAGTCTAAAGGCTGTGGCTATCTGAAAGCCTCGTGAGGAATACGGACGGCTGGGAGGCCTTTGTATGTGTTTTTTATACTTATTTTAAAATCATAATAAAGTTAGTTTACTTATTATTAATACAAACATCTTTTCATCTGAGCGTGTTGTTTTTTTTGACAGCACAGGCAATGGGACATTAAGAAACACTGCCCTAGCTGGTTTGGCTCACTGAATAGAGCGTCGGCCTGGGGACTGAAGGGTCCCAGGTTCGATTCCAGTCAAGGGCATGTACCTCGGTTGCAGGCGCATCCCCAGTGGGGGGTGTGCAGGAGGCAGCTGATCTCATCGATGTTTCTAACTCTCTATCCCTCTCCCTTCCTCTCTGTAAAAAATCAATAAAATATATTTTTTAAAAAAAGAACCAAAAGTATATAGAATTAAAGAGATGGCCTAATTTCCCTACTAGTTCTTATTTGTGTTCATTTTGACTTGCTGGTCCCAAACATTATAACTTGAGTATTTTCCTCTCAAACACAAATCCATTGACTTGGGAGTTCTCCTTTCCTGAATCCCCATACCAGCTCCTTGCTGAGAGTTTATGCTGCTTCTAGCATTCCATCTAAAATTACATTGATATCTGAATGTTTCTTGCCCTTCCTGCTGGATTTTGATGAAGAGTTGCATGCCTTTCATGACTAGAATGTCAACATTTACAAAGTAAGTGCACATTAAATATTTA